CTGACATGGTGGAAAAAGATGAAAAGTTACTGACTGATACATTAATAGCAAAAGTCAGTTGATGCCAAGACCTCTAATTTATTCAGTTCCAAAGAAAAAAAGTTTATATCAATCTACCATAAAGAAGCGAATCCAACAGCATAGTTTTAAGACAGAGATTGAAAGCAGCCATCGAGAATACCTATTATTACAATTTCTTATTCTTTCTCTCCCCCTTTGTTACTTTTTCACTTGGACTTTCATTTAATTGACCTTTATTAATTTTCATATAAAAAATGCCCTGACAAGTATATGTGTGACCAGATTGTTCGAATGTATAAAGCAAATACATCACGTTTTTCAGATTAAATCCGTCTTCTCATTGTTCTATCGAAATTTATAAAAGGGACTAATTGCTTTAGAATTCTCTTAGATAAAAATTTCCATGACTCTTATGAAGAACTCAATAAAAAACTACAGTAGAAATGCTATTGGCTTCTATCACCAGCTAATTCAGGTAATACCTCGGACCACTTAGCCATAAGCACTGACAGTTGCTAGCCCTAAACAGATTTCTTTCTAGTTATGGCTCATATACTATTTGGTAGACTAACTACTAGTGTTCAACCTCTTTTTGGTAATTAGTTGAAACTGAAGCAGAGGCCCATTTTAGTATACCAATCCGTTCAGGATGAGACATTGACCGGCCACCAAAGCCCAAGATATGTCCAGGCTAGGAGGACACCCGAAGGTGACACATCGAGACCGCGAGTTGTTGCTGATCAGGAAACGGTTGAGTCAGTGCACAGCTGCAACAGGAGATTACAGTTATCTGACCTGAGATTAACAAGCCACCAATAGCAACCGAAGCAAACTTTATGTAGCTAGAGACCCGTCCTGTGCATTTAAATCTCCGGTCAACACTATAGTAACCATCAAATACGCTTTTTTGAGATCATCTAATTGGATGCAAAACTCATCCTTAATAACATTCGGGCTGTAATCTATTGTCTCCTTGATAAAATCCTATTGGGAATCCATAATCGGTGAGAGCAGTGAAAATTTAGACTGGTCAGCAGCTTGAGTTTGTTTAGAAGTAACTTTTATCATAAGCAAGCTGCTATATGAGCTAGGAAATAAGAATTAACATTGAATGAAAAGAAGCACTTGAATTAAATGGATAAAAACTATCTTTTGTGTTAGTAATAAAATCGAAAAAGTATATCATCAAATCCATCATAAGCATTCACAATCGTATTTGCGAGTCGATTCAGTTATTGATCGAAGAATGTTTTATTAAGGAGCGTCATCAACCTTTCGATCTGGAGGTCTAATCTACAAGACAGGGAAGAAAAGTCAGGAGACGTAATTCTATGATACCTAGGACCAGTTCATGAGTCAGTCAAATCCTCAGGACTTTGAAGTTTATTTGAATTATTGGTTTGAAATAAGGCTTTTTTAAATCTTTTACATGGATCCTACATGGCTAACGAAGAAGGCTGAAGACAATCAAACAAAGAATTGGGATTAGGCCGTGAAATCACTAACTGTTGGAGTGAACCATGTTAATGAACACAGACTGTCGACCAATCAGTCATATGCAACGTGTGCTGGGTTCAGGGTGCCCCAAACAATTAATCACAAGATGAAATTACCAAAAAAAATCCAAGTAGAAGAAGTGGTAGTCATAGTTACAGTATTAAACCGTATCAAACCCTTATAAAAAGTGACAAGAGAAGAATAAATAGGTAGAATGAAAAATCATATGACAACTTTAAAACCTAAGATCTAAGAGAAAACAAACAGTAAGAGTATCCGCTTTATAACAACCAATTCTGAGCCACATCACCCCAAAAGCCCTAGTATGGCTGAGAGTGGGGTGGGCCCGCTCTCCTCCTCAGATAACCACCTGCTTCGGTTTGGGCACACGGGGAGAATCACAGTCAACACAAATATTTCCAGACCATTCATAACTTTGACACTCGACCATAGCTGCTACCTTGACTCAGTGGTCAGGCTTGCCTATCGTGATGACCCAACCGAGCTATATTGGCTGGAACATATTTCCTGTAGGTTCTACCATGACAGGCAGGTCGATTGGAGAACGGTTAGACTAAAAGCAGCAACTCAAGGTCGGAGGGCGAAGTCGTATTGCTGACTGTAGAGGGGTGTGATAGCAGTAAGTTGTTTCTCTCGGACAACCAGCATCTGCAGCGATGCGGCCTTCTCACAAGGAAGGAAGGGGTTAGAAAAGGTCGACCCTAAAATGTCACACCTCACCTTACCACATGGATTTCCGTCTCCGGGGTTAAGGCCCTTTGAAGAACGGAGCAAACACGTCAAAAACCTCCCACAAAAAGGCCGTGCGCGACCGGCTTCAAGCAATTGTGGATGTCACTCCATCAATGAACGAACAAATCAAGAGTGGGAAAGCAGAAGGACCTGTAAATATACCGGCTGAGACGCATTATAGTGTCATTGATACTTCGTTCCGTTCGCCGATTTCTCAGCGATGTCGTGATCAATTCAAACATAAGTTTTAAAATTATGCCAAACGAATTTATTTGTGTAGTAGCATACTGGCTAACGCTCCTCTTCAAGAAGGCACATATGGTATAGGATTTTTGCATCGACTTAAGAACTTCACAAATGCATTCCTAAATTAATCTTAGAAACTTCAGATGACGATGCCTATGAAATAAATAAAAAGGCCAAGAATAAGCAAAATAAAGAACTGTTGACTAGTCAAATCAGATCACTACATTTTTATAGAGAATAAATAAGTGAAATTCATATCCTATTGGCATTACTTTGCGAAGCCTGTTTACAGAATCGACATTCTGCTGTAACTTACATCATTAAATTAATAAACCATATAGCACGGACGTATGTTGTTATATGTCTACCCACTGACCACTTATATTCAAATGTAGCTTGACAATTTGGACAGATGCATCAATTGGCCAGTCTGGTTAGAAAAGAATAAAAAGTACAACCTACTTGTCTGAATAGATATTTCAAAGCTATTCGTGCTTCTTGGATGTTATGTAGTTGGCATAAACGAGACGAGAGCATTTGACCAGTCGAATCAGGTGGACCGGAGGCATCTGTCGACGATCTTTCACCGGCATCCATAAGTTTTTGCTGCAAATCGCTAATCACTTGTGTTTGACATTGAATCGATTCAGTTAGACTGTTCACTTCTTCAATATACATATCATAAGGTTGACCGTCTTGTCGGCAACTTTATTTTGGCTTCGATCGTGCATAAACGACCACAAAGTGTTTTACGCGAATCCATAAAATGACTCAAATGATACTTAACAGCATCCATACTGATTTGGATATCTAAATCTGTTTTGACCCAAGCGCGAACTCGTGTAGCCAAATCATATCTGATAAATGTGATAAGAATTTAGACAGTTTAAACTATGGAACGAATGTTTACTCTGAAAGTCACAAAAGAAGTTGTGCTTATAAAGGAACTGAATATAACAAATACCGATATGCAGCTGGGTGATTTAATCATGGGGCTTTCACAGTTTTTCTTGATAACACAAACTTCAGATAGAGGTGAGCTATCGGAATTTCTCTAAATGGCCTATCCTGTCAGCTTTGCTCTTGATTGTTGTCAGTCTTTGATCGATCATTCCTTATGTGTTCACCTTGATTTATTATTGCTTCAAATGAGTGATAAATTGATTCTATTTTGAAAAATCTCTTGACTACTGATTGACCTGAGAACCTAGATTCTAAATAATCTTCTGGCCTTCCTTGTGTTGCCTCAGTCCAAGATACCGTTCCACAGTCAAACGCGTATACGCAATTGCCTTCATACATTGACGTGAATGAAAATACGTCGTGACCTTTAACACGTAACTGGTGTTCATGTAAACAAAGAGTAAGATCGGGGCTATCGTGCCAGATGTACTTTTTATTACAGTTGGAGCAGTCTATTTTGTACATGATATCCAACTTATTTTTTTAGATCATTTCATTTTATCGTTTGTATAATATTTATCGTAATTATTTTGCAGGTTTATGAGCCATATCTATACACTAGAGAGCCTCAAAAATCAGGTTGTACTTTTTGATGTCCTTCATATATAGTATGATAATCGGTTTGTAGATTTCTATATTAGATTTTGAGCTTGTTCATGAGTTTTATAGATATTTCTTAATATTGCGTGGACAGCTGTTCTTTTGGAAAAATCACCAGACATTTTTCTACATCTAGCTTCTTGGCAACTGATTCCTACTATGACTAACATTGAGCACTGTACACGGATTCTAAACTAGGACTAAATGACTGAATCCCCGATTTTTCGAGTTAATAATGTTTGTGATAAACAGTAAATTTGAAGATATTCAGACCAAAATTTATGCCAGTTTTAAACAATCATATAAAGCAGATAGATGTGGGATATTATAGTTTGTATCATGGCCTATCGTTAGATGGACAATCATTAAAAAAAGCCAGAAAGTATTTGAAAGTTGTTTGGTACTAGTATGGGACGCAATGAGCATCCACAACCACACCGAGGATTAGGCTTAAGAACTTAAAGTCTCGTGACAAGTGCTTAGCCTTTGGACTAGTCCTTATTCAATAGTTTTTAATTTTTCATATTATTCAATAAGCGATATTGAGCAACTATCTAGCAACACCTTATAACCTATACAAGTGGACCCGACTAATCCACGACGTTCACTGGAATTCTGGGAACTACCTCTCGACGTTAGTCGCTAGTGAGAACAAGATTGTTATTATTAGTATAAGGGACAAATGTACATTCATTCACAAAATAAAATACTTTCTTACTTTTTAGCATCGTTCCCTTCAGATACACATTTATCACGTCCATTTCTAATAGCCTTTTGACGTAACAACAATTCTTTAAGTCGACATTCAGCAGCCGCAGCAGCTTCAATACGGCGCTTTAATATAGCTTGTTGCCGTTCGTGCACTGAAACCATACGAGACATTTCACATTGAAGCCGGTGATCATGTTCTTGAAGTTTTTTCACCTACATAAAATGATCAAAATTATATCACAAAAGCTTTAAAAGATTATCTGAATAACAGTCGAAGGGTGTCTAATTAAAAAGGAGTTCTCGAAACTTATAATTTATACATTTGGCGAATAAGGTGATTTAAGTGACTATTACGCATATTCAGCCCACTAAGAATAAATTGAAGTGTGATAAAATAAAGTGGCACGATGAATTTACAAATTCTAGGGGTTATTGAACTTAGACTGGCTAGTAGGCAAAAACTTGTTAGTTAGGGAATTCACAGTGTAATCATGATTTATTTCAGTCAGTCAGCTATAACATATGACCAGGCACATATATGCATCGATCCAAATTGCCATAATTACTTAGCACAACAAGATCAACATCGAATTCATAGAAGCAGTTACTTCAATGGTAGTAATATATTCGACAAAAGATTGCGTATAAGGATATGACACAGGGATGAATAATTGGTTCGTACAAATAAAGTAATTTTAATCTCATGGTTTAAGGTCAAACCTTCGCCATTGTGATCGACTCTGAGTCATAACACCCAGGGTCTCCAACCACCGGTTATAATAGTCGCGGGAATCCCAACCAAATAGTCAGCATCTACAAACATGGCTCAGACCAGAAGTTAGTGACTTCAAGGAATGGTGCCACGTTTTGGTTTGAACGCCCCTAACTTTCTCTCATCCATCCCTAACACTAGTCAGCTTTGGGCACCGTGGTAATCGATGTTCAAGCATACGAAATACGTGGCCCAACCATTTCAGTCGATGTAGACTGACAATCTCATCAACTGATTTACCATCATCCCTAATACGCTGGCGTCTAACCTCACTATTACTTACCTGGTGATCCCAGTAGATACGAGAAATATCTATAAGACATCTGTGATCAAATACTAGTACCTTATGAGTATCCTCTACCCTTAATGGCCACGTTTCGCTGGTCGCGATATGATCAATTTGAATCCAGGCTTGAGATGCGACGGAGGGCGCCAGGTAGCACATCGACGATGACTGTGCTTTGATTGGATTGTGAAAATCAGTGAATAGAATGCTTATCGATCGATGGATGCAATGAAATGAAATGTGATCGAGTAATACCGATTCACGAAAATGTCTTATTGATTTGAGCCCCAAAATGATTCGATATCAAAGATAAGACCACTAAGCTAAAAGAATAGGTATATTATGTAATAAAACAACATGCTTTACATACTAAATATGGGCATAAAATAAACATAATCAAAATATCATAAAGAATTAATGGAAATTAACTTGAAGGTTACTCATTCACCAGTAGATTGAGACCTAACTGTTGAGCCTAATCTTTACGCATTATAATGAGGTGGGTTTCTTTCGTTCATTTGAATAATTCTAAGTCATTTACCATAAAGTACACATTTATTTATTCCAGTGAGAAGAGAACTTTTAGAATGAGAACTACTGATACTACTACTTATTTATTTTACTAATTTGTTTAAACACATAAACATTGATACAAGAAAATGTCAAACATATATGCTTCATATAGATGACACAATTTCTGTGAGAGTACCAAAATCGAAACAGGTGATTCTCTTAGGGGGTGCGCACTCTGAGCCTTTGCCCTAAAGGTCTAATCTACAATGCAGTAGAGCAACGTTAGGAGAGGCAGTCCCATGGTAACCGGTGACCAACAATACGTTCATATACCATTTGTTCCTTCAAGATCCTGGAGCCCATGTTCACCAGTCGTTTGGAATCAGGCTTTCCAGATCCCCTAGATGGATTTTCAATATCCACAAACTTGATTAAAGTGCCGGATATTCGCTTTTTATCCACTCGATTTCTTGAACAACAGTAATGCTGCGAGAAAGAAGTGGGTAGGACTTCCATGTCAGTGATTGTATGCACATGACCACTTGAGAGCACTTCGAGAAAGAGAGACGACACTCCCCATTGTTGGCCCAACCAGGGTATTTGGAGGCTACAAGTATTTAATTATAGTTATTTTCAGATAATTGGCCAAGTTTCTCTGAACCATTAATTTGGTAATCTTAATATTAGGCATAGAGTGTTAAATATATATTCAAGTTAGATCTTCGTCAACGGAGTTTTATATACAACATGAACAATTCAGACAACACCTACGCCGTAGTGCTAACCTGGATAATGTACATATATGTTATACGACATTACCCTCCACCTATAGAGTCATTGACTCTTACTGTAAACAGTGTAAAAACATATTGACTATGAAGTTGAAAGCTGGAATACAATCATGTCCAATATTTGAGGAAATTATATGACAGAGAGTCACAGTGACACAGATTCATTCACTGAGTACACTTTCGTCAGTTTTGAATATAGGATTATTATATATTTTGAATTTGCTGATTCTAATTGTTTCTTACCAACGCCTTTTAAATTTTTAATTTTGTTCCAAGCATTTTATTCACTTACAGATATGAGATAAATTCACATTTAATGTCATGCATCATACAATTCTGCTTTAAACAGGTATCTAACTTGGAAGCTGTCTAACATTGTAAGTAAGTTATTAATGATGTTGACGTGAATTGACATACTTGATCAGAAGATATAAAACATGTATATAACTATCAAATATAATAATACATTGTAGGAGCTGAATAGATAAATAGATCCTTTCAAGGTGATTTGAATAACAGCTACAGATTGATGTGTGGTCGATGCTACTTATATCAAGAATTATAAGTAGTATGTAACACTAATTAGAAGTGGAATGGTTAGCAGTAGAAGATTGAGAAGATCGAATTGAAGAAAACAGGGATAGTAATATCAATAGTAATAAAAGAAACGTTCAAACACAGAGAATATGGTGTGAAAAGAAAAAATGAATTCGTGAAATAAAGATAATGTTAATACTACAAATTGAACTGAGAGACAGTAACGTCGATCTTGATCAGTGTCATTTAAGATCTTCATCTAATGAATGAAATTGTCTCACGTTCAATAAAATAACGAAATCCACCTCTTCATAAACAGCTCAGATCAATAGCCAACATCGTTTAAAGAATTGTAAATAATTTTTATCAACTGAGGTGGTTGAGACATGCGTATCGTATACCTAACCACTGTCTGCCTCAACAGGACATGTTGTCTGGTGTAAGAATAGGATGAAACAAAGATGGGGGTGCACAAACAAAACATATGGCATCTGTCCATGAAATCACTCACAATAAAAATAAGTCATGTTTGTACGTGTAGACTGCCTGGTTGGGGTCTGCGTGATCATCGAAATCAGTGGTTACAGACTTCGAATGACATGGCTCAGAATCATTTGTTTGTGCCACAGCTTCATTCGTTCTTCGGTTTCATCAAAATTCTGAGCTTCTGAATTGCTCATAGTGTCCTTGGCTTTCATTTTACTGATTTATATTTTCCTGAATCGTATCTTCGATGCCTAGTCTGTAGCGTCTAGTACTATTTCACACCAACACGAGTTGTTCTAGCTTTCAGACAAACCGTTTAATTTATTCTTCCTACATCACATTTTGACCTTTTCAATTATTAACTCAGCAATCCTGACTGATTTCAATTGAGCGTGTGTGTGTGCGTTGCTCATCCTATTCATCACATGGCTTCAACTTATTTTCGTCTGACTATATATATTGAATCATACTTGATCAAATTGTGTTGGCGCACTTGCATTCCCCAGTCTGCTTCACCACCTCGTTTCTCTTATTGTCTGTCTCGGATAACCAGTGTATAAAATATACCTTGTCAAACTTCATTCTCTTATTTGATTTATTCTGTTATTCTGTAACGCGACTTAAGTCGATAATTATATGAGAGGGTAGGTTGGATGTATATTTCATTAACATCATCGTTCGACCAAATTGGAGTCAGACCAATAGGCCACTAAGTCTTTTCTGTTACCACTGTTACTGTAACTACTCCTACTACTCTGAGATCCGCTCTAACAATTTCATCTTGCAGTGCAAATGAAGTGTTGCAACTTGAACCGATATACATATGTACAAGGTTTTACGTTGCGACTGACTAAATGACTGATAGAGTACTATTATCAATATAATATGAAAACTAACCTTGGATTGATTGGTTTCATTGGATCACCTAATAGAGCAGACAAAGTATGACCAACTGATTCACTTAAAGTATTCAGATAAGAACCACCCTTGAAAAACCAATGACGACAAAAAGTTTAACAACAACAATAACAAGTGACAGTAATATAAGCAAATTAAAAAGAATTCACAATCGAATGATAGGAACTGGAACTACCTTTCATTCATTCAAAGCACAAATAATTTAAAGAAAGCTATGAAGTAAATTAATAGTATTATTTTCTACTCCCACTCAAGACCTTCTTACGGTGAGCGGTGTTTTTATGAAAATGAGAAGACGATAGGCAAATGTACAGCACTTCAATCGGGTTGGTGGATAAAGAGTATTCACCTACAGAAATTGGAAAACTCTGATTCAAAACCAATGTTGTGAATGAACTCCAGTATCCTGAGGGAATCAATTGTGTTTGAACCTATTCTTAGTTACCAGCTACCATGGAACCACATTTCACAACCCTACTCCACCACCTTATGGATTGAATCTCTAGATCAAAGACTTGGGGAGTGGCCCTCTAAGAAAACAATCTGCTTTGGTTCAGGCAATCAAACAGTATTCCAGCCCATATACGAATTCAATGATAACTAATTTGTATGGCGTATAAATATTAGAGTTGCCAATGTACCAATATTTATATGTTCCAATAAAATAAAATAAACAATTTTTTCGAAAGTAATGCTTTATTCTATGAACTAACAGCAGTCCAAGTAACATGAACACAGAAATTTTACTTCTTATTTTATGGTACCATAGAATAGTGTGCACGACAAGGATGAAAACTGTGCAAGAAATTGAAAAAAATTTTCAACAATATACAATAAAATACATAGATTTTTAGTGACTAGTTTCGAACCCGAGCTTATATATATATATATATATATATATATATATATATATATATTGAATAAATGAATAAACTTATCATAATGACAATCAGAAGTAGCCTAATTAGAAGATCAATCGATGGCAATCAGAAGTGACCTCGCGGACAAGTGCTCTTCATTGGCTAAGAATTGGACAAATTTACTTGAAATTAGAGTGGTATACATATGAATGAGTATTTGTGCATTTTATTCTGTAGTCAAATACACTTTGTCGTTCAAGTAGTCAGTTAGGGGTGGGGGGTTAGTACACTGTGTAATAATATCAGATTTTGAACACCGTTCATCACAACAACAGTTGTCAAATCTCCTTTCTTCAGTCTCTTTCTTGTTTGCTTATTTTTGTGCCCAACAATATACTTACTTAGTTTATGATGATAATATGTTCAAGCATTTTATGAACTTGTGACATGTTACATTTACCTATTGTAATGTGCCAATAATCTTATATGTTACTTTATTGATTTTGTAGGCATACTGTTTAGTGTCCGTTGATAATTTCTAAAAAAAACTGATCAATACAGATATGTACTGTATTCTAATTCTGTTGTAATTTAGTTAGTGACTAACTATTTGAATGATTTGCTACCTTTAAGGTTGTATTTTTAACATCTGAATATCTGACTTGTATCAATAATTGTTTTCATGATTACTACAGTTGTCAAATAAGAAATTGCACGTACCGATTTCGAAACTTTGTATATCACTCGAATCTTCAAAAAGACTCGATAGTAGTAATATGTACATTCGTCATATTTAGGTCAGATGTCTCACGCCGTTTATAAATGAAGGGGATATGAGTAAAGCAGTTATTAGTTTCATAGAGAGGAACTACCATAAGATAATAATAATAATAGTATTACTAATAAAAGTCCTTAATATGTTAATGGAGTGCTTACTTACCACAGGACAGACGAATGAAGAATCATTTCCAGCGGAAACAAGTACTAATTCCGGATCAAACTGAGAAAGAATGAAAACAGAATCAATAGACAGAAAACGGTTAGTCAACGAAACTGGCATAGTAGCCAACAAAGATCAACACAAAAATTAAGCTGATCTCTACAAAACCCTTTCAACTAAAAATATAGTTATTGGACCTACTTCATACACTTATTTTAAATACGGGAAATCTCTACAAGTGATCTAGATAGAAGTGTAAGACAAACAGAAAATGTTTAAGTTGTTTTTACAATGGCTACTTAGCAAACTGGTAAGATGTAATGATCGTTCATTGTAATCGTGCTACTATAACTGACTTTAATTGAAACTTGTGGTTGTCGATTTGACTTGACACACTTTGCACATGGATCATATTTCTTTTTGCCACCTCTTGAGATTAAGCTGAATAAAGTAGTTCTTCTTTTTGAAACATCTTTCTCACTAAGAATTATATCAAACTTCATTTCCAGTGTTCGTTTGCCTACCAAAGAACGAGTTCACTACCACTTAGTTTGTTCATTTCCACTCTATGATTGAGGAACGTGGTCTTTAGGAATAGATGTTCGTAGGTGATTAGCATTTGGTGTACACACCAAATGATGGTGAGCGACCTATGCTCCTTCGCGAGGAGTAACAGGCGTAATTAAAGTAAGTCATGTATACCTTCAAGACATTTCTCGTGCATGTTAGGACTGACGAGTAAGCAACAGTGAGGTAGAGATGACAAATCAGTTGATGGAATTGTGAATCTTGATCGACTGAGTTAATTGGGATATGTATTAAGTGTGCTCAACCATTTCATACTGTGATCTGCAATGTTTGCTGGTAAAGGAGCAGTTTGGAGGAGAACTAGGAATGACTAAACTATGACTAGATTTTAGTATACCTATGACTAAACCTCACATCGTGTCAAAACAGAGAAAATTGGTCACTTATTACACTATGCTCACACTCAAAGTGAGTTGGGGCATGATCTCGTAGCAAGTCATGCCTATGTGTTATTGAAATGGAATTTTCCACGTTCTAATGGATATGTGATATAATTGGTATAGTTGAATTATGTCAAGAGTGAGAGAGCTGTCACTGATGTCAGTAGATGATGATCATAATATACCAGATTTGTGTATTACATCAATTATGAACAATTAATTTCGATCGTATGATTCTTCCCCTTTATTTGTAAACGTAGTGTGCTCTCATTGATTGATATATTTCGATGTGCTCGGCCATATTGAACTGGTCGTTGGAGTAATGAAAAACGAAGCGACGCAGTGAAGGTAGACGAGCCTATTCGATTTGATTAAGCATGATAACAAGTAGGCCTGCTCGAGCATCTGGGCTACCTGTTCCTGCCATCTAGACATTTCACCAAGTTATCTATTTTTGTTTGTTCTAATATATCATTATGTCTATTAATCGCATAAGCTATCCTGGTGCCTTTCTGAAAAGTGTACATGTAGCACGTACTATTAGCGTTTATCTGCAAGCAGGAGCGATCTAAAACACAACACAACAGTCAGGACCGACAGATGCTACTCAAGTGAGAACACGGCGTACGTGCACAACAGAGATATATATTTAAAATTGAATTACGCGGTTTAAGTACAAAAAGGGGAGTCCATTACAAAATGGTTTTACTCATTATCCCGCAGGTTTAATTTGCGCAAGCTTTGTTCTTCTCCTTCTAGTACGTTCACTTTCTGTTGCCCTGAAACAAGGAAAACAAACTTGCATCAGTAAAGTCACACGTAATGGTTTTTGATACTGATACATACAACCTTTCGTTGTCAAAAATACAGAAAGCTCAATAAGTGACAATGTGGTTGCTGGCAATGTACAACGAAAAGAATGTTCATTTACTGTACTGCTAACATCTAACTGGTGATCACTCAATATATATCGTCAGGACCGACCAAGAAGAAAGAAACAGAAATTTGTTGAAATACTTTGCGCTGAGAATTCTATATTGTACCAAAAATATAATATTGAATAAAGCTTATAATAATAATAATGATTAAGTATCTATAGCCAGACAAGAATAAGTTGAAGACATGTGATGGATAGGGTAAGTAATGTACACACACGCTCATTATAAAATCTGACATGAAAAGAATGAATGAAGAGGTCTGTCAGAAAGCTAGAATAACCCATGTGAGTTTGATAATAATGTCCTGGTAAGGCCGAGAGTGGGGAGAGTCCGCTGTCCTTCTCCAGACGCTCTCACATCGCAACGCGTGTTGGACCAAAAAGTGGACTTAACATTCTGCCTCCAGCCGTTTTACCTTCGATTAATGGTAAATACTACTTGTATTTGTCGAAAACAGTAGCACACAACAAAATACCTGTTCCCTACCTCCTCTTTTTTTTAGTCATTATGACAAGTTTATTTATTTATTCAATATATATATATATATATATAAGCTCGGGTTCGAAACCAGCCAGACAAGAATAAGTTGAAGCCATGTGATGAATAGGGTGAGCAACGCACACACACACGCTCAATTGAAATCAGTCAGGATTGCTGAGTTAATAATTGAAAAGGTCAAAATGTGATGTAGGAAGAATAAATTAAACGGTTTGTCTGAAAGCTAGAACAACTCGTGTTGGTGTGAAATAGTACTAGACGCTACAGACTAGGCATCGAAGATACGATTCAGGAAAATATAAATCAGTAAAATGAAAGCCAAGGACACTATGAGCAATTCAGAAGCTCAGAATTTTGATGAAACCGAAGAACGAATGAAGCTGTGGCACAAACAAATGATTCTGAGCCATGTCATTCGAAGTCTGTAACCACTGATTTCGATGATCACGCAGACCCCAACCAGGCAGTCTACACGTACAAACATGACTTATTTTTATTGTGAGTGATTTCATGGACAGATGCCATATGTTTTGTTTGTGCAATCAGAGTGTAGTATTTATGATAAGTAGTTATGTGTACGATTGAAATACCCATGTACGATGGAGCATGGGCTGAATACGCTCTCTCTCTCTCACGAAGTGCTTTCAGATGACCACGTGTACATAGCGACTGCGAACGAAGACCTAGCCATTACACATGTACTTACATCAATATCAGTGACTACCGTAAAAGGTAGACTGCATTCTACCTTATGATATATATATTTACTGAAAAGAACGGCAACAACAGAAAGAGTATCTAACTTCATTATGGACAAACTTAAATTCTTTTTGAATTCACTGATACTCTAAGATGTTTGAATATCAAACAAGTAGTAAGGTGATATGTGCAACCGTTCGAATGCACTAGTAATCACTAAAAGTTATACATGTGATAACAAATGAACATGCAGCTTGGAAAACTTTCACATGAGAGGAAACTGACGAAATTAATATTCATTTAGGTAAACAGGGTTTGTAGAGATTATTAAGTTTGAAAGAATAGCATCACAGACTCAACTTAAACAACTATTGAAAATCGAAAGGCAGTAAACAGCTGTGTTTTCATGGTATGGGACACCTCAATGGTACGTATTCGTGACCCGGAAAGAGGAAATCGAAACCAGGACCTTTGGTTGTACGCGCGAGCTCTTAAGATTTTGAATGCTGAGCCGGAAGCCAACAGTGCACCTGTCTAGCTTCAACAGATTCACTATGGTATATGACTATCTTCTATTGCCTGTCGTGGATAACTGTCTCGAAATCAGCATGGTTGGAATTCACCAGTCATAACTTCTCACCAGTGAGCACAGGATTATTGTTGCTACACGGATTTTGTGGAAAGATGAAAAATACATGAAGTATCCCACTTAATAAGAATGTTTACACAAGATACTGATTAGCTCGAAAGTGCTTTAAACATTTCACTGTCTTTCTGAGTTTTGAGGAAACAAATATTATCACTACTGTATTTCCAGACCATTCATAACTTTGACAACGAAATGTTCACTACTAACAATAATAAACTATCTACTCATGAGTAAAAACTCTCAGTAAACCTACTGCAGCTAATGATCTTATCGTCATTAATTTATCGTGCTGAATTTTACAAGCATCTCGTAGTTCAGCATTTTCTTTTTTTAACTGGTCAATGTTTTCATTAGCAGCTTGAAGCCGAGATTGAATGTCTTTCATCTAGACATGAACAAACAACGACAAGACACTAGTAAGTACGTGAATAGACTAGTAATGGTGGTTAGTATTTCCTCACAAATGTTTTGCAACAAAGAATGATAAACTAAGAGTGGAATTAAGGGGATAATAAATCGCGTGATCAGAATGGGAGTCTGTGCCGTTTGGTGTGCCTGAAATGTGTCAGGCATGTTCAGCCATCGACTGTACGGCACTTGAGTAGATTGAGAAAGAAGTTTAATATGATTGGACCAATGAATAGCATCTGGAACATAGACAGTATCAACAAACATGGCTCAGACCAGAAGTTAGTGACTTCAAGGACTGGTGCAACGTTTTGGTTTGGACGCCCTAACTTCCTCTCATCCATCTCCAACACTAGTCAGCTTTGGGCACCATGATAATCCTTCTCCAACACTATGCGTTGTATTTTTTGTAAAGATAAATCAACATGAAAGGTATCGTGAAATTTATTCATTATCTAATTATAGCAAGCGATAGTTATATGAATCAACACACTAGATATCGCTTAAAAATTTTAAAACACAAACGATTAATCGATTGATGAATTTATCGATTAAATGTTTGAATGTATCAACGATAGTCAATTGACGAACTTATTATAGAGTGAGAAGCTTTTGATTTGTGCTGAATTAAATCATACTGTCGAAAAATGCAGGAATTATACAGAAATCATTCCGATGCTGATCATTTACATGATACTGTAATTTCTGAACTCCAGAAAATCGAATCCATTCTCAAGTAATTTCTCATATTTATTTTAACAAAAAAAATATAATTACAGCTCCTTAAATCAATTTGTTAGAGATAAATTCAATGAATATTTTGAAGTGATTAGTTATATTGAAGAATTGAAAAACATCCAAACTGGATTGATAAAACTATTTGATGAGTCGAATAAAGTAAGTTCGTGGTGAAATGATTTTTTGGATATATTTATCACTTTGCTTATCCTACCCCTTAATCTGTTATTCTTTTGATTTTCGTATCAAAAATTCTATATCAATGTGTGGTGCTTGTAGAGATGATCAGGAATAAAACCTACTTTACTTATTGTTCTAGTTATCCCCCATATATCAGCATAGCGTGTTTACAATCCTGTGTGGTTGGAACTCACATACATTTATGAGGTTAAATCACCTTAATTAACAATTAATGACCATTTAAATTGAAGTGTTAAGTTATTGGCAATCTTTATTGTTTGATATAGTTGATTTCATTTGCAACATGATCGATAGCATTCGATCTGCACTAATAAGGACTAGACAAGCATGAGATTGATCACCACCTAGTGATCAATCAATTGAGTTTTGTGTCTCTTCTCGTTTAACACAATAACATTACAAATCAAGATTTAGAACATGCTTATAAACAGTCGTCTGATTTTCTAGCTGAATTTCAATCAGACAACTGTTTATAAGCATGTTCTAAATCTTGATTTGTAATCTGTTATTGTGTTAAACGAGAAGGGAAACAAAACAAATGAAATCAACTATATCAAACAATAAAGATTGCCAATAACTTAACACTTCAATTTAAATGGTCATTAATTGTTAATTAAGGTGATTTAACCTCATAAATGTATGTGAGTTCCAACCACACAGGATTGTAAACACGCTATGCTGATATATGGGGGATAACTAGAACAATAAGTAAAGTAGGTTTTATTCCTGATCATCTCTACAAGCACCACACATTGATATAGAATTTTTGATACGAAAATCAAAAGAATAACAGATTAAGGGGTAGGATAAGCAAAGTGATAAATATATCCAAAAAATCATTTCACCACGAACTTACTTTATTCGACTCATCAAATAGTTTTATCAATCCAGTTTGGATGTTTTTCAATTCTTCAATATAACTAATCACTTCAAAATATTCATTGAATTTATCTCTAACAAATTGATTTAAGGAGCTGTAATTATATTTTTTTTGTTAAAATAAATATGAGAAATTACTTGAGAATGGATTCGATTTTCTGGAGTTCAGAAATTACAGTATCATGTAAATGATCAGCATCGGAATGATTTCTGTATAATTCCTGCATTTTTCGACAGTATGATTTAATTCAGCACAAATCAAAAGCTTCTCACTCTATAATAAGTTCGTCAATTGACTATCGTTGATACATTCAAACATTTAATCGATAAATTCATCAATCGATTAATCGTTTGTGTTTTAAAATTTTTAAGCGATATCTAGTGTGTTGATTCATATAACTATCGCTTGCTATAATTAGATAATGAATAAATTTCACGATACCTTTCATGTTGATTTATCTTTACAAAAAATACAACGCATAGTGTTGGAGAAGGATTATCATGGTGCCCAAAGCTGACTAGTGTTGGAGATGGATGAGAGGAAGTTAGGGCGTCCAAACCAAAACGTTGCACCAGTCCTTGAAGTCACTAACTTCTGGTCTGAGCCATGTTTGTTGATACTGTCTATGTTCCAGATGCTATTCATTGGTCCAATCATATTAAACTTCTTTCTCAATCTACTCAAGTGCCGTACAGTCGATGGCTGAACATGCCTGACACATTTCAGGCACACCAAACGGCACAGACTCCCATTCTGATCACGCGATTTATTATCCCCTTAATTCCACTCTTAGTTTATCATTCTTTGTTGCAAAACATTTGTGAGGAAATACTAACCACCATTACTAGTCTATTCACGTACTTACTAGTGTCTTGTCGTTGTTTGTTCATGTCTAGATGAAAGACATTCAATCTCGGCTTCAAGCTGCTAATGAAAACATTGACCAGTTAAAAAAAGAAAATGCTGAACTACGAGATGCTTGTAAAATTCAGCACGATAAATTAATGACGATAAGATCATTAGCTGCAGTAGGTTTACTGAGAGTTTTTACTCATGAGTAGATAGTTTATTATTGTTAGTAGTGAACATTTCGTTGTCAAAGTTATGAATGGTCTGGAAATACAGTAGTGATAATATTTGTTTCCTCAAAACTCAGAAAGACAGTGAAATGTTTAAAGCACTTTCGAGCTAATCAGTATCTTGTGTAAACATTCTTATTAAGTGGGATACTTCATGTATTTTTCATCTTTCCACAAAATCCGTGTAGCAACAATAATCCTGTGCTCACTGGTGAGAAGTTATGACTGGTGAATTCCAACCATGCTGATTTCGAGACAGTTATCCACGACAGGCAATAGAAGATAGTCATATACCATAGTGAATCTGTTGAAGCTAGACAGGTGCACTGTTGGCTTCCGGCTCAGCATTCAAAATCTTAAGAGCTCGCGCGTACAACCAAAGGTCCTGGTTTCGATTTCCTCTTTCCGGGTCACGAATACGTACCATTGAGGTGTCCCATACCATGAAAACACAGCTGTTTACTGCCTTTCGATTTTCAATAGTTGTTTAAGTTGAGTCTGTGATGCTATTCTTTCAAACTTAATAATCTCTACAAACCCTGTTTACCTAAATGAATATTAATTTCGTCAGTTTCCACTCATGTGAAAGTTTTCCAAGCTGCATGTTCATTTGTCATCACATGTATAACTTTTAGTGATTACTAGTGCATTCGAACGGTTGCACATAGCACCTGACATCCTCTTTTCGTCGTCTCGATTTCGTAAACAATACCCTCGTCACGAGAAGGCTATTAGTACAACTTTCTTGACTGTGGCTGTATACATGTGGCCATGTGAGAGCGTTTTGAGAGGCAGAGTGGACTCTCCCCACCCTCGGTCCTACCAGGGCATTATGATCTGTGATTGAAGACCTCTAGTGACATGGGTTAAAATCAGGCTCAGTGGTGCAGGTAGATCAGTTGTTCACATTTTACATCACAACGTAGTTTGTGATCGACAATCTTCCAAAGCGAAGAGTTGTTCTTTTAGGGATTGGGACCTAGGATGTTTAAATCTTGTGGTTATCGTTAAAAGTACTGAGTATGAATCAAATATTTGATATTTTTCTAGACATCGTAAATATCGTACAACCACTATGCAGAAGTATTTTACTCTCGAAAAGGTTGAACTTCAATGGTTACGGTTTCACCCCAAGAACGCAGCAAATCATCTTAAAACAAATCATCGGTTTATTTTTACAAATTTACAGAGCAATGCATAACATAAATGTTAAAGGTAGATAGAAAAAAGTCAACCAACCTCAGTTTCCTTTTCTTTACGCCATTTTCGATAAGCAGTGCTTTCTTCCTTCAGTTCATTAGCTGATCGGATCACTGAAGAGCTCAACGACTGTATTTTGTTTCTTAATCTTAAACATTCCGATTCTCTAGCCTCGTTAGCTTTCTCTAAACGCAATAATTCAGTTAGTTGACGACGTGTCTGATTTATTTCTTGTTCCATAGTCTTAAGACGTGCTTCTCGTTGCGTTTTGGAACTGAGTTTTCAAAAATGTTAACAATTAAATTTGGTATAATAAAAACTTAGACCATACCATTTTATTAATGGTTACCTGATAAGGTTTGACGTAGCGACGTTACGTTTGGATGAAAATCTTCATAAAAATGGTTGAGGCAACTACCAATCGGGTGTTCGTAATAAATTTTGCAAAAAAATGACTTCAGAGAGCGCTATTGTGAAAAGATTGAACCTCGTAACCCAACGGTTTAGCAGTTGAACCGACTACCCATCACTTTTCCGCATAAAATAAAACTCCAAATTTTCGTAGACATGATCTTAATCATTAACAATTAACATGAATCAAAGTGCAACTTCGAAATCGTTTTTGAACATGTTAAGTGTGACGACTGAAAACTAGTCACAATGGCACAGTTATTAAAACTTCGATATCCACTAGATTTGAGTTAGGTACCATCAACAACTATTTAACCTTGAAACAAATTGTTCTTTATTTTTGAACTGCTTATTGTATTTAGGCTTTTGCTAAATCAGGGGTCATTTACCATTCTATGTTTATGGTCCTATTGATTTCCTCTCGATGGGCTGACCAGGTGTGACAAGTTGAACCGGTACATATATACAGTAAGCCGTACGTCAGTAATCACCAACAGTGAAACCTTAAAATATATAAATAATGATCGGAATACATGAAATAAAGTGAAGAATATGGTTTGAATCCATGATAAGCACTATGCGTTGTATTTTTTGTAAAGATAAATCAACATGAAAGGTATCGTGAAATTTATTCATTATCTAATTATAGCAAGCGATAGTTATATGAATCAACACACTAGATATCGCTTAAAAACCTTAAAACACAGACGATTGATCAAGTAAACTGGAGTTTGATTAGGAAAGTGCATTAAATCAAATCCACGTCTAAGATACGTCCGTATGTTCGAATTATCATCCACTGAGAAAGTTTAATACCTAGAGTATGTGTAGAATATATTTATAAACAGCACACAATACGACAAGCAGATAAAAACGCATAGTAAATGGCAGTGTTATAAGGATCGATTACACTGAACACTTTTTCTCATATTTATCAAACGGATCTTTCATGAAAGATACAAAACACAATGCAAGCATACTCTTTTAATTCTTCATTACTGTGTTCTGCCAAAAGCTTGGATTTTTCCCGCTGAAAATCAATAACATTTGATTCCAGTTCACGAATTTGAGATTCGAATTTTTTCAAACCGTCTATTAAATAAAAACAAGCTATAACTTAGCTCCCCATTCAGGATTTATTACATCAAGTTTAAATACGGTGTGAGAAACGACGTCTTACGTTTTTAGTGTTTGATCACAGATGTCTTATAAGTACTGCTAGTGTCTACTGGGATCACGGGGTGAGTAATAGTGAGGTTAGACGCTTAAGTATTAGGGGATGATGGTAAATCAGTGTACAAAATATCTCCAAGGCAATCAGTACATTGAAACACTCCTACACTGATGGACCAAATGGTATTCCATCTAGCATGCTAAAACGTGGAGGTGATGATATGTGTGTTTTGCTTCTCAAACTATTCGCGATATCACTCTCTTCAGCGTGTTACCCTACTGCCTGGAAAACTACACATATCATTCCCGAAATTAAAACAGGACCTAAAGCAAACGTTGGAGAACATGTCCAAGCCACCGAAGTCGGTGTTTCAAGATGGTGACACCAATTGAATTATCATCTCTGTGCCCGAACACACGATGCCGAACCTCTGCATTACTAACATGGTGTTGCCACTGAATGTCAGCAATCCTTCGGAGACAGCGATGATCGAACACAGAGAGTCGTCTAACGTCCTCAACTCGGAGAGGCCAGGTTTCACAAGCATAGAGCAAAACTGCTCTCACCGACGCGTTGTAGATCCGGCCTTTTACAGCCAGACTAACATCACGAAGGCGCCAAAGGTGGCCCAGATTGGCATAAGCCGCTCTGGCTTTCACTATTCGTGCATTGATCTCATCACTCACACCACCACCAGCACTTATGCAGCTACCCAGATACACGAACTTCTCGACTACTTCTATCTGCTCACCATCCAGGGTGAGTACAGGATTAGAATCCTGCCAGTCTTGTAGAAGTACTTTGCACTTCGAAGGTGCAAAGAACATACCATACCTACGGACACTGATTGCCAACTGATTAAATGCGGATTGCATACCTTGGGCATTATCGCACAGTAAGACAATATCGTCCGCATACTCAAGGTCGAGAAGTCTTTCTCCAGGCAACAGATCCACACCACCATTACTTACATTCATCAGAGCTGTTTCCAGAATGTCATCGATGGCAAAGTTGAAGAGGAATGGTGAGATTGGGCAACCCTGCCTAACCCCACTGCTCGAATGGAACAATGGAGAGAGGTGGTTGTATGCCCTCACTCTGCCTGAGGTGTTTGTATATAGGGCTTTTAGGATGTTAATAAACTTCTCAGGCACACCCTTCTTCAATAGACAATCCCAGAGAACAGTCCTGTCCAACGAATCGAAGGCAGCCCTGATGTCAAGAAACACTACGATTGTTGGCCTTTGATAAGTATGGCGGTGTTCTAATATTTGGCGGAGGGTGAAGATATGATCAATACATCCTCGACCAGAACGAAACCCAGCCTGCTCCTCGCGAGTCAATCTTTCTCGGGTTTTGAACAACCTACGAAGAATGACGGAAGCCAATAGCTTGGACGCAATCGGAAGTAGACTTATCCCCCGATAGTTGTTACAAGAACGACGTGAACCCTTCTTAAAGATAGGGACAACTATCGACTCATTCCATGACGTTGGTACACTCTCTAGTTCCCACACCTTTGTAAACAACGTCGTAAATTTTTTAGTCAAAAAGTCACCACCATCTTTAAAAAGAGCCGGAGGTAAGTCATCTGGGCCAGGTGATTTGTAACACTTCAAGAGTTGGAGTTCCTTGCGGACTTCCTCCGCATTTGGTGGATCAGTCGTCACCGGCCATGGAGGGCAGGACAGTCTGACCAATGTTGCCGGAGCAGCAGGCCAGTTGAACTGCCCTTCGAAAAATTCTGCCCATCGTCCAAGACGTCGATGGATGTTAGTGATTGGCATCCCATCATCCTCGCAGATTGTTTCACTCACACCAGACTTCTTGCTGCCAGTGGCTCGGATGAGTTGGAAGAGCTTCCGGCAGTTACCAGATGCAGCTGCTGCTTCCAGCTCATTAGCACGCATCGACCACCAGGCTTCTCGGTCCTTACGCAAGCTTTGCCCAATTTCCTCACGTAACATCCTTCGTTTATGGTCAAACTCACGGTCACCCGGAGTAGACCGACGGGCTTCAATGAGTTGTAAGGAGCCAGGAGAAACCCAGTGCTTAAAAGCGGGACGTTTCGCAAACCCACAACTGACTGTTCCCGCCATTTTCATGGCGTCATGCAATTGCAACCAATGCTCATCTATACTTTTCGGTGGAGTGGTAGCTAGCCTAGAGGCTAGCTCGGTTCGATACTTACTTGCAACAGAAGTTGCAACCAGCTTGCTAACATCAATCCGTTGATGGCGTTCACTTCGTTGTCCACTGAAAAGTAAGGCAAGATTGGCGCAGACCAAGGCATGGTCAGAGTCCAGATAGGTACTCCAAAAGGAGCGGCAGTCTTGTACACAACCACGCTAGCGGTAGCTGATCGCGATGTGATCAATCTGAGTCCAGGCTTGAGATCCAGAGGGAGGACGCCAGGTGGCACATCGGCGATGACTGTGCCGAAAGTTAGTGCTAGCCAGAAACAGGTTGTGGTCTGTGCAAAGTTGCAGTAGACGGTCCCCGTTATCTGACCTGCGACCAACGAGTCCCCATCGGCCACCTAAACGACTCTCTTCTGTGCCTAGACGCCCGACCTGAGCATTCAAGTCTCCGGCTAGTACTACCATATATATGTCGAACGCACTTTCTGGAGAAGAACTGATAACTGGTGGTAAAACTCATCCTTGATTGCATCCGGGCTGCAATCTGTCGGGGCATAGGCGGAGATGACGAAAAGACATCGTTTCTCACGCCGATTTCTTCTCACTTTGATGGAACTTTCTAATCTAACAGCACATAACCAACTGTTAATGGGGATCCAATCGACTAGTGCTGCCTCAGCTCTAGCGCTTAGTGCGACACCGACGCCAGCAAGACCAGACGAAGATGCCACAGGGTCCCCGGATAAGCGCACGTAAAACAAGCTTTTCGAAGCGACAGATGGAGATCGAATTTGTAGTACTTCGCCAGTCTTGAATACGGGTCTCGGATAGACAACACACGTCGATATTAAGACTTTCCAAAGACATAGCCAGCCCTATCTGTTGTCCGACCTGCATAAATGTGCGAACGTTGAAGGCAGCCAGTTTGAATGGTGCACGTGGTTTCAGAAAATCTGCTTCAGTCCTCGTATTCGGTGGTAACATACAATTTTAAACCGGACAGTGACTCGAGAACGTTTAGATACAGTCGGATTTCCACCAAAGACGAGCCGCTGTATAAGTATAAAAGAGGGTGAATAATGTGGAAAATAATAATAATAATAATAATGATAATAATAACAATAATGACAATAATAGTAGTAATAATAATATTAGTATTAATAATGACAATAATTGTAATGATAATAATCTGAATCAATTGTTTGTTTTTCAAAGCGAGAAAGGTAATTTCCATAGGCATAAAGAGTTCATCAATTTGTGTGTGGGCTGTGATACTGCCCGGGTGCCCAAACCGAAGCAGGTGGTTATCTTAGGAGGCCACTCCCCGAGCCTTTGACCTAAAGGTCTAACCCACAAGGCAGTGGAGCATCGTAAGGAGATGCAGTCCCATGGTAGCCGGTGACCAACGATTGGTTCATACGCCATTCGTACCCGCAGGATACTGGAGCCCATATGCACCATTGATTTGGAATCCGGTTAAAGCGCCGGACATTCGCTTTTCGTCCTCTCATTTTCGTAAACAACACCCCCGCCACGAGAAGGCAATGA